TTAATCTGGCCCTGCCTCAAGGTACTTCTATGATGTGGATGTACTTGTTCAATCAAATTGTCAAACTGTCCTCACAGTCCTCACTGTCCTCACAGTCAAGTTATGAGCTCCATCTGTATCAACTTTTCAAACCACAGTTCAGGAAGGTTTGCACTTTCAAATCTGATCAGTGCAGAAGCTGGTGGTTAAAACTTTGTAATACTTGAATGACAAAAAAGTGGACTCCTTTCAACTGTAAAGAAGTATTCCTGTGAAACCTGTTATTCCAGTGTGAAAATCCTTACTAGACCTGGTGTCACAATAGTCCTGTGACACTGCCGAGCGCACCATAAACTCAAACCCTCAAGTCCATCACTAGTGTGCGTGAAGGAGAGAGTGATGAGAATAGGGAGTGAGGGGATGGGGGGGGTGCAGTGGCCTAGAGTTTGGCTGACCAAGAGTTCTGCTCCGGCGAGAAACTACACCACCGTCCCAGCAGCAGAAGCCACACACAGTACAGCTGCAGAGCAATTCTACTGCAACGAATTGCTGCAATTCAGAACCAGGAAGGAAATACTGCTGCAAATTTTTTTAAATTTTCGGCATCCCTTGAGAAATCACTTTCGCATATAATTTTTAAAATGAACACAGATTTTATAACCACGCAAAAATAACTGAAGTACAGCAATTGAAATGAGAACATTATTGATGAAATGTCTTCAATTTTTTGTGCCAAGATATTTTGAAACATATTCGCATATTTTGATAAATACAGTATATCATGAAAGAATAAAAATACTAAAACTTGATTTATCCTGCTGCAAGTTTTCACAGGGGATTGCTGCATGGGGTTCACGTATTTCTTATCGAATACGAGCCGACGACATTTACAGTGAACATCAGTGTTATAGATCCTTCAAACCTTCAACAAATTACCCTGAAGAAAAATCAAAATAAACGCTTGTGTATCGCGGCTGCCTAATAATTCTTCAAGGTTCTGCTAAAGATTTATAGATTTAAAAAGTGTGCATGCAGTACCTGTGGGTCGCACGGACACGCAGTGAGGACTGGTGCTTCATTCATTGCCACAGCTCACTTTTCTACCAAGCTATTTCAGGTCAAAAATCCGTTCACTTTTTCTGGCCCACCCTTTATTCAGCTTGTTTCAGAAATTCCTTCATAGGCAAATCGTCTTTTTTCTGTGAGAGGGAGTGCAGTATCTGAAGAATGAGCAAATTATGTAAAATGGGCACCAGAACGTTTTCAGTCTATTGTTCCTTTTTGCTGGGCACTACGGAATATTTCTCAGAGCACGAATTTTTTTCGGGCTTATACAGTATTTTCCACGATCATTTGAAGTTTTCGTTGAGTAATTCCAGAATGACCAAAACCACGAAGATTCGTCAGAAAATAACAACTTTAATCAAGATCACAATCCAGGATCTTTCAAGGCTTCTTTCACATGCTTCGGAATTTTCACACGCTTCCTCTTCCGTTTCTTCTTTGTCGGCAATTCTGAACCCTGATTCGCATCTTCGCCATCTTTTCGATCCACTTTCGGCTTCTTGCATGACAACGGGTTCGGCCCACCTTTGCGTTTCCGTTTCTTTTTTGCAGGCTCAGACACGCCGAGTTCTTCCTTCAGCACTTCCAAAAGTTCGCTTTCCTTTTCTCCGACATTTATTTTCTCTGACAATTGAGAGTTCACTTTCCGCTCGCATTTCTCTGACGGCTTCTCTAGTGTAGGAGTCGCTCCATGCAGGTAAATGACAGGGACTGGAGGCCTGTTGTGAGCTTTGGATTGCAACTCTTTGTCCTTGAAAATGAAGGAAAACAAAGCAGGGATTAAAATAAGGTGTGTCCCTGCATGGCGAATTATTTTCAGACTCTCACAAGAAACCATGATGAACCTTAAAAACTGCGTAAGTTTTCTAGTTTCCAACATAAAATTGTGAATTTTGAATTATGCACTACGATAGACAACTTCAGTAATCCTAGCAGGTTCGTGCTCTGCACTTTCGCAATTATTTAAGACAAGAAGAGGCAAGTAGATTACAAATGTTTCAGATTCTTTTCATTCCGTTGAGGATTCTTCCCGGGTGTTTTAAAAAATATTACCTGCGTCGCAACAAAGTAATGGTGAGGATTCCCCAGTTTAAACATGGTGAACAGACACTGAGCCCCGCCGATGGGTTCTTTGTGTCCACATTTCCTGGCCGGAAACTGCTTCAAGATGGAGAACGCTCCGTAAGTCATAGGCAACAACTGTTCAGCCTCAGCCACCACGCAACTGGTCGTGAGTATCTCCACTCGTCCGCCCAGGAAAGTTGGGATCTGGTCCACGATCTTCACCTTATTCTTCAATGCTTGCTGGCAAAACGTGCCATCGACCAGGACCTGGTGCGGCTCTCGGAAGCCAAAGTTATTCGCGTAGAAGCTGAGAATGCGCTGCGTTCGTTTGTGCCGCGAGATTTTCATTCCGACCTGAAAAATACACCCCAGAAGTTATTACCATCATCTCGATCAAGAATTCATTGATCCGGTTTGTACGATATGATAGGAATCCTGTAAAAATGCGACAGAAAATTACCTCGCGGATTTCTCTTCAACACACGGCCAACAATTTCGCAACTTTGAATGACGCTTCTTTCGCCCAGAAGAGCAGAGTACCATCTGAAAAGCCAAAAATACCCGACGGGATCCGAAGATGACAAATAATTTAATTCAAGATAAAATAAACGAGCAATCAAGTTCTTCCTCGAGGGCCATCGCGAAATGTCAAGTCGCCAATTCATACAATCACTTGTGCCTCGAGAACAAAGGCGTACTTGAAGAAACTTAATTTTGAAATATCAAGTACTGTATGTCTTTCAGCAAAGTTAATCTGTTACCCATCGTAAAACAGTAGCCAAATAAAAAGCTACAAGAATTAATTTCAAATGATCGTGTTTGTTCATTCTTGGGAATGAAACAGGAACACAAAATCTTAAAATTCCCCAAAATATCACAGGGAAAAAACTCGTGACAATCTTTTCACTTCATAACAAAGGAACGTCACGAAAATCTTTTTCTTCCCAATTTTCGGAGAAATTTCCAAAAGCTGAAACAAGTCTTATATCAATGATCCGGTATTTTCAAGATTTTCATACAAGCTCATTTGGCGGGGTGTTCCGCGTATGAGCAAGCAGAACAATTTCGAAAGATTTTATGACGCTCATTTTCGGAACACGTAATATTCATAGCAAATAACTAAGTAGAAGCAAGAATTACGAAAGAAGACCCATTCCAATTAAACGTCGAAGGAATGTATGAACCGCGAGAGGCATTTAGTAACAACCCCCGTTTTTCATAACAGAGAAACTGAAGCAAAGAAAAAGAAGCTTCGAAATAGAACAAATTTTCCATTTGTTTCAATCCACAACGAAGAGCAATCAACGCACTCGGAATGCATATGCCGCGTACTTTCGTTCCCAATCCCACCTCAAAACTGGCCCAGGTCAACTCAGGGATTTCAAAGCTGATCATGAATTCATTCCCCGTCAATAAAGACACTGAAATCACATACCGTTTCTCGATATTAATTCGTGCCGCGAGACACACAGCCCTACACCTCAAGTATAACGAAGACTTCGATTCCTCTTCTTTAGTCTCAACGAACTAAATAAAATAAATTACCTCAGTCCCCGACAAGTTAAAACTCAAGCTGAATACTTTGGAACAAAATTCTGAAGCTGCATAACTTGACGTCACTTTTTGGATGCACAAAGGTCGGTCCATAAGTTTCAAAATGCAGGTACAGTACTGTACAGTAATTGCTGCCACCTGAGATATTAAATTTTTTTTTACCGAACTGAAAATAGCGATGGGGAAGGCAACACAAAAAGCGTAGACTGCATTAAACTTAAAAGCACTTAGTTTCTTTTTTTAGGATTTAATCGGAATTTACACGGACAGCTTCAACAGCACTGAAAGTTTGTGCATGGGTTGAAAAACCACCTTTGATTTAATCAGAATATTCGCAAAACTTACGGACCAACCATTGTAACTTCTCGTCACAAATAAATTTAAACTTTGTTCAATCACCAATGATACTGACAGTAAAGCAAGCTTTTAAATGCGCAAATTTTCAGAGCGCAAACATTTTTTTTTACACGAAGGTAACGTGAACTTCGAAAGGTTGTGAATCGTTGGGATCTAATACTGAACAAAACACACTAAACGCAACAACAATTCTGAAATCAAGCAAAAAGCAAACGTGTCTTTCCGTGAAATACTGCGAATTCGTCGTACAACAAAAGCTCAACAATAATAGTTCGGCACACAAATTTTGATCCGGCTTGCGACGCAAGAGAATCGAAGCGCAAGCAAATTGAACTCATCAGTCGAAAAGCACGCAACAAAAACTTTGGAATGATAGTTCCCTTAAAAGATCAAATAATCCATGAATGCTGCGACATCACGGAATGGATTTCTCCGCTTTTGGCAGAATCTTAGGATCAGTAGACGGAAGTCCGTATTCAAAAGTAGCCCACAATACCAGCATTGTTCCAGCCACGAACCGCAAATTGATCTCCAAATCAGAGAGCCAGAAGTGGGAAAGTATCGCAGTGAGAATGATTGATATAGACGTAGCAAAGCCCTTGAGAATATTGTCGGCATACTTCAAAGTCACAGCAACGGAAAGCCCGGATACGGCCTAAAACAGGACACACATTTGCAATCAGTTAATTTTTCTCACCAGCCAGAAAAATCGCGGAAAGGCAATGCCCGTAAAATCAAGACAAAAAACACAGTATAAAATCACAAATCGGAAAAGTCTTCACACTACTTTTCTTATCGAATACTGTATGTAGAGAATTAATTTCTCGGCAAGCATTTAAATTCCCTTTTCTCTAAGATTCAGACACAGCTGAGAAAACAAAGAAGGAAATTTCCGCACATCGCCAATACTGTGCATAAAACTGAAGCCTAAAAGAGATTCAAAAAATTTAATTCACCAATAAATGCAACAAAATAAGAAAGAACTACTATGGATGTTTTGAGCGTGAGCATAACTTCAATTCGAACTGACACATGAAAGAGAGCGGAAATTTAGTTGAGATAAAAAACAGTCGTACACGATACTTGACGTCACATGAACACATTTACATGTTGAGTTGAAGAGAATTCATCCAAATCGCATTCATTTATGGGAAGGAAACAGGCGATGCGTCATACGTAAATAGGGTACATTTGAAAATTTAAAACGGGTGAAAGAATAAAAAAAATGCTGGACAACGATTTTGATTCATGTCATCATGTAATCTGTTAATACAGGTACTGCGGTCGAAATTTAAAAAATTGAAATTTATTGCGTTCTTCGGACCAAACAGTTGACCGCGCAATAATAAATAAAAAAAATTAAACCGACATGAAACGAAACTCACCATCACGATTGGTACGGACCACACAAGCGGGGTATAGCCAGCAAAAAAGCCGTATTCCGCAACGAAGTCTCCGTCATGTAAAAGAACTATGCTCGCGGTAATCGCTACACTAAAAATCCCTTCATCCCAAAAATAAAATGTTAAAATTTTCGTGAAACAGAGAGAATTAATCAAACTGACGAGAAATCTTACCGAGTTGCGAGTTCCGCAAAGGCACACTGGTTTTCTCCACACTACCAACTTTAACCAGGTATTCGAAGTATACTCCTGATATACCACTCGTGAATATGTTGATCAAAATGCACGTGAAGCCAATGATTTGGTTCCTAGTATTCGGAGAACCCTCAGACGAGAAATCCACGGTCCGAAGCTGAACGAGTGCAACTCCAGTAGTGAGGATCACCAAAGAGAACCACTGACGTCTAGTAATTCGCTTTTTGAGCAGTATAACTGCGAACAACGCAGTCGTCAGTATTTTTAGCTGGTACGTAATCTGCAAAGATGCAGGCAAACCAGAGGATTATCACGCAAGTTGTAGCAACATAACGAAGCATTTATTACTTACAGAAGTTCCATTAAATTCTCATGATTGAACCAAATTAAGAAGAAGGCATGCAATTGATGAACAAATTTTTAAATTCCCTATTTCAGTTCCACAAAGACATAAAATACACGCGAGTGAGCATTTGCATTTCCTGCACCACTGAAAAGGGACCAGAAACTATCTTCCTAAAAAAAAATACTGGGTAAAACTGGCGTGATGCTAAATTCAAAGCATTTTACTTTACCTTTTAAATATATGAACTTGACGTTGCTCGCGTAATTCAATTTTAGGAAGTACAGCATGTACACATTTTGCTTCAATATTTATGATTCATACAAGGAATGAAAAATAAATGACAGAATAATGTTTCCAACCACTGCTTTGGTGTCAAAAACAGTAGAGACCCTATAAATAAATATAACTCCCTTGAAAGAAACTAAAGTCCTACACAGCGGTTTTATTATTTTATTTAAAAAGTACTGGGTCACAAAATTGTTTTCCTAAACTAACAAGTACTTTCGTTGAACCGAAAATTGAGGTAAAATTCGTGACAAGAATTTTTGAGGTGGAGTTTCAATTTTATGATTATTTGCGGACGAGAAAAATTTTACTAAAAAAAAAGCACACGTGAAGACATTCACCTGATATGTAGCTGCATCAAGGTTTGTCAACGCCAAATAAACCAGGTTGTTCTGCAGGGCATAGAGACCCGCAGGAATCATGAGCTTGCAGGTTTCCTTCGGGTCACACAAAATTTCGCGGAACACACATTTGCTCAGGGCTAGCAATGACTTCCGTTCCACGCCGAGGGCGATTAGTGAAACAAATAACTTGATAATTTCCGAGATCAGAACAGCCGTAGAAGAAGCGTAAGGCTCTGATCCTTCCGTTTTCGACAACCTAAAATATAAAAAACACGATTTTATAACCGAAGAGCCACAAAAAAAGGCGAAAAGGGTCGTTTAATATTACGTACTAGTGATTTTGATGTGTAATAAGAGACCAAGCGCATGAAATATAAGCGTTGTTTCATTCATTCAACCTACCTCGAGTTATTTGGATAGAGATTTATTTTCAACAGCGTAATGTTTTATCATATCCCGAAAATTTTTCAAAATTTTTTTTTAACCAAAGTAAAATTGAGACAAGAAAGAAGGGTAGGCAAACAACAATCGCTCTTCCTCCTCTTTTCATGATCAGTACAGTATTTATTTTCAACATTAAGGTGAGGATGCCAGATTACGTGCGGCAAAATGCTTCAAATTTTGCCACGAAATGCATTTTTTTTCAAAGAAACGCAAAAAACATTCGTAGACGCGAAGATAATCAACTCACCTCATAAGAATAACCAAAGCAGTCGTCAAAGAAGTCACTGTCAATAAACACACGGCTTTTACGTGCCATGGAACACCAGAGTCGTGAACTGGAGCCATGGCTACTCACAATAGCCGAAAAAAAAGTCTGAACTGGGCACAATAGATCTGCAACGCAGAAAAAAGAAGTCGAGCTCATAAACCTTCACGATTTGATCACGGATAATCCCAGACTCGATAGAAAAATTCTCCGATAGGTACCAATAAAAACTTTTGCGACTTCCAAATAGGCAATATCCCTTTCGCGTTTCACACCAGCGGCTTTCCAACACAATTCACGCGAATGTTCATGCTGGATCGCAATTGGGCCATTTTCTCCAGCTTGAAGGCTTCCGTGTTTGCTTTCCTCTCCACGCGGCGCTCTCGACGCAACTGCTTAATCATTCCCTTGCGCATTCGACGTTCTTCCGTCGTCTCTGCTTTTGAGCGAACGGATAAGGCCGAAATTCGACTCACGAGTGACATGGCATCCGCTGCTCTTTCGGAAATTCTCGCCACCTGAAGCACCATCACAAGCAGCAATTTTATGTAAGTAAAGATAAATTTAAAAGACATACATTTTCCGAGTGTTCCCCAACACTCGGACCACCCGACTTCCTCACATTCAAAATTATGGACATTCTGAAAATTGTCACCATTCGAACATTATGATTTAGGATCGAAAACATGATAACCTGTGAAACAGAATACCGTGTGATGAACCAATTGGGACATTGCTTAAAATCAAAAAATTTAATTTTATTTAAAAACTCAATTTTTTAATGTAATCCAATTCCATAACTCCGAAATTATTTCTTAGTAATTTATAAATACAAATACGTTTAATTTATCGACTTTGCAAGACTCCAACAGCGCTATGACTAGATTCATAAAAAAATTATTGTATAAAAAAGCATCAATAAAAAAGGCAGGTAATTTTTTTCAACTTACCCCAGTTCCATCCCCAAGACGCTGCAGGTTTTCCGCGGTGAGATTGGAACCTAGAACGCCTTCCGGGATACCAGTCTTGCGGTTGATCTTGATCATTCTCTTTTCTCGTATCACTCTTGGCTGGTATTTCGAATCGTTCGTTCTAGTAATACACAAACCGTCGACATCAACAAGAAAAAAAAAGTAGAAAAAAGGAAACAAACCTCAAAGAGAGGATGGACTGACAGTCAAATCCGATCAAATTGCTCTCCTCGACTTCCACCAGTTCATCTTTTTCATCGTCATCGCAGATTTCTTGCCTTTCTTCTGTTGGAGACAAGCCCCGTCTGGCCTGTGCTTCCTTGAATTCCTCGGCCAACTTCAGAAAAAAATCAGAATTTGGATCCATGCGGCCGTCGATTTCATCTCCATCCAGAGCACCAATCTCAGTGTCTTCGTACTGAGCCTCCATGATTCGATCGAACTGGGCATCAATCAATTGCAAACCGGCATTCCTAAACGATAAAAAAACATGTAAAATCCACTTCAACCCTCACATCAATAAAAAAACTATGCATACAACAATTTCTTCTAAGAAATTCGGATGCGTCAATTTCTGAAATAGAAAATCCACCATGAAGAAAATTACCCAATGACACGAAGAAAATATCCCACGATACAACGGAGAAACATGCAAATTTTCACGCGTCATACCCAAATACTACACCAAATTTTAAAATTTTTATTTCTTTTCATATTTTATAAAAAATGCTGATGAACAGGGCCGGATTAAACCACATTTTGGCCTGATGCTGCACAAAAATGGGCCTAATTCTCCTTTGCAAAGAGGAAATGTGATTTTTTCCTCACACAGTTAATAATAAAATTCTTAGATAACATAGGATTGCTAAGGCTAGAACTCAATCACACATAGATATTGTAGAATTTCATCAAAATTAATTTCATTACAATACATTTTTTATAATGAATTTTTCTTGTTCCTGGCAGTTTTCCATATAGGCACCATTTTATAGAAATCTCATTATAATGAACCCATTTTATTGAAGGAAAGGACAAACCATTCAAATTTCTTGAGAAGCTAAAGATTTTTGTAGAGAAGGCTAGGTGTTCAAAAAAATGCACAGCATGATACATTTCTTGGAAATTCTTAACTAAATTTCACATTGTGTGCCTTTCTTTCATTCATATAAACAGTATCCTAGAACTAGAGGATATGTTTCTCTATTTGAAAGCAGGCAGGTGTGAGCAAAGAAGTTGATTCAGAAGGAGTCCAGAATTTATACTAGTACAAAGGTAGTTTCAATGAAAGACAATACCTATTTCTTTTAAAAGCTTTCTGTTAAATTCATCAAATTACTGTACTTATAGTCATCATGTAAGGTCTTGAATTATCTGTTTTCCAGGTACTCTGAAGTTATATATAGCCCCTTTTCCAATGAATTTATGTTCAAAATAAGTTTACAAAACAATCAGAAGACTACAACATGATACTCTATCTGCTCCAACATATAAAACTAAGTACAGTAAAATTGAGACTTAATTTGAAGTGCTTGGTTAAGTGGACACAACAATATATAGTTGTTCCACTCATGGCACAAAATATGTACATGTTCAATTAGATTCATTATATTGAAGTATGTGTCTGCTGTGTGAAATTTAATTTCTCATCCCAATTTCAACTTCAACTTGGATTGCAGCATGTCAAAATGTCATCCACTTATTCCATTTTTCAAAAATTCACAGAATTTTAAACCATGGGCTGATAACTTGTGATATTTTTTAATGGTGTGCCTGATAAGCACTTATTGAAATAACAAAATTGCTTTTCTGGATGAACACTGGAGTGAAGAAAAAGTTCAATATTTTTTTCTGATCCCGCCAAAAATATTGAGAAAGATTCAGAAATCTTCTGAAGTTTCTCAGTGACATCTGTTATCCAAAAACTATTTTACAAATGAGGAAACAACGATGATCAGTCGCTGTGGACTCTTTCTAATAATTAAAGGAAAAAGGGGATCGGAGATTTCAATCGTTTTCCGCGACTTTCGAAGGAAACGCAAAAGTTAC